AAAAAACCTTTGAAGGTTTAAGATCGATGATAAACCTTTCGAAAAAACCTTTAAGGGTTTTTTAAGGGGTTTAGTTCGCTTACTAAACCCTTTAAGGTTTAGTAAACGACGCTTTTTTTTTAGAGTGAATGCCCATCATCCACCTCACCACGCCGGTTGAGTCGAATTCAACAAAAACTTTCAGATATTCCAAAAGCTCAAAATATCTAACAATATTAAATGAAAGTTTGTTTTGACCTAATTCGTCCATCAAATGAAAATTTCGTCCCAATCGAGATTATGCCACCATCATTGTTCAGCACGAAGTCAGAAACAGCATAAGCAAGAAACTAAGAAACTACAGCATTCAATAGACTGTAAGTAACGGAGTCAAAATAATTTTTAGGAAATCTATAGAATTCTATGTGGAATTCAATAAAACTTACCAGTTTTCTAGAATTTTAAGAAATGTATAGTTCTAAAGAAATCTATAGAATATTCTCTTTTCCACAGACGAACGATAACAGAATTCAAGAGTTTTCTAGAATTCTATAAAATGCATAGAATTCTGCAAAATTCTGAGAAAACCGAATAAATCAGTCTATAAACTGAAGAATACTATAGAATTCTAAACAAACCTATAGAATTGTCCCAGTTTTGTGGGCGACATTAACAGACAGATAACACAAATTTGTATTTAGGGGTGCAAGACCATTGCCTTTCAGTCAATGAAATTGCTTTAAATCTTTTGACTTTTTACGTCGAAAAATAACAGATTTTTACCAAAAATACTGGAAATATATATCACTCGACTCAGTTTTTGACGCGGATTCTGAATATAATATTTTTATTGCGTAAAATATGAGTTCCGATAAAGAAAATTGTGAATTACAGGCAGAATTCCGATTTTTTCGTTTCTGTAGAACAGAAAATATACCAGGCACAATTTATTTTTCTTCGATTGCACATCATTTTGTAGGCCGCTTCAAGACGCATCTAATAGTGTAGGATACAAGGAGGATAACAGCTTTGTCTTCATGGAACAGTTAAATCATTGTTGACGTGTGTTGCTATCATTATATATAGTAAAAAGCAGCATAATCCATATAAAATAACAACATTGTAATCATTTTTCATAGTGTGATATACAAATCAGTATGTCTTTTCAACATCTATCATTTTATATGTAAACCATTATCAGAAATTGTTTCTGAATGGAGAAAAAAATCGGAATACTAATTTATGTACCGTCACATTATCTGAGAATTTAAAATGACTATATTTTAGGTAATTCTTCACTTGTAAGGTGGATTCGAATAGGAAACGGTTTTCTATAGATGAGTTATATATTGTAGATAGAAAAAAGAAAATTTTGAAAGGGACTCCGATTCCTTAACAAAAAGTCCCCCGTCCTTTCTATACAAAAAGTTGACAACTTATTGTTTAATTCCACAGTTATCATTTGTTTGGTTTGTTGTTTTGATATTACATAAGAAGCTTTTTCAACATGATTAATATCTGCATCAACCCATGTGGAATTTACCCTACAAGATCTTTTAAGTTCTGACGTTTTCTTACGAAGTCTTATCATAAGATCATGCAATACGATCTTATAAGATCCTGAAATAAGATCATATAAGATCACAGCATTACTTCTTGTTAAAAGGTCTTATAAGATCTGGGTATAAGAAGTGATAAGATCTTACAAGATGTTAAGAAGGCACAGGATCTTGCATGATTTTGTAGGATCCTGGGTAAATCAATGCTTTTTCAGGTCTCGAGTCAATTCAAGTTCAAGACAATTATCTTCTTTCCAATTTGTTCGTTTGCATAGCTCGTCGAACTTTCATACTGTGCTCATTGGTACCTTAAGAAGTTACCATTTTAGGAATGCTAATTTCCCATAAAGAAGTTGAAAAAATGCACTCTTGAAGTGTCTCAAGAAATGGTCGAAATTAAAAGTCAGTTAGAAAACCGGAAAAAAAAGTTTTGTCAAATCAAGTCAGACTTGAGACAATTTTAACTTGACTTGGCCATTGATTGACCTACAAGAAATTACACGGTCAATATCGAAAAAATTGTAAAAAGATTACATCGGTAGACGTAATTTTCTTGTTCTTTATTGATTAGCGTTTCAAAATTGTACAAGTTATTCATAAAAGAAAGCGCAATCACGTCTTCGTGGAAGCTGTTCTTTACTACACACAAGTACTTGTATTCTTAACATTATCAGTTGCATATATTTCTTTATTGAGAAAATATAACAAGCAAACAAAAAATTCTTTGCTTAGATACCATCAAACATAACAAAAACAATAGAAAAATAGAAAAAATACCTAGAAAAATGTTTTCATTAATATGTTTTTTTCTTCACAATAAACTTTCTTCAAATAAACACTTCTATCTCAAAATAAAGTGCTTCATCACAGATACTATTTTCTTTTTTTATCGGAATTTTTGTTAACATAAAAGAATAAAACGACGAGAAATAAATAAACTTCAGAGAGCAATAACATTGAAAAATACCGCGAGCATTCGACATTAGAAGCAACTGATATGGACGAAATAGTAGCATCTGGCTAATATTTTCTCTCTTTTAGTTCATCTAAATATGAATCCATGACTGTAATAGGTGTATTATTTCGTGTAATTCATAAAATTTATGCAAAAATCTTCAATAGTAATTTTAAATCTGAATAAATTCAATATTAACAATAGGATTCGGTTGTTCAACAACATTCGCCTCCACTTCACTTTTACATACTGGCAAAGATGAAGATTTAGTATTTTTATCATTCGATTGCTGCTGTTGTTGCTGTTGTATTTCTGCACGCCTCCTTTCCGTAGCACGTTGTTTCTTGTCTTTTTTCATTTGTGTTCTCTTTTGTCTGCTATTTGGTTTTAAAGATGTAGATGACGAAGGTGTCAGAGTATTGTCAGGTATTTCAATATATTCATTATCATCATTTTTTATTTCTGTATTGTCAATTGTCATTGCTAGTAATGATTGAATTGTTAAATCAACATCTGAATTATTGACCATATATGACTGTTGTATCAAATCAGGATCATACATGCCTGTAATAGACATAATTCTTTGTAAATTTTCACCACATGTATCCGATATATAATCAGAATCATTATTATTAGTCGATGTTCTTGCTAAAAGATAGGCTATTGTCGAGTCAACATTGTTATTAAAATCTATTAATGTCTGATGTATTAGGTTTTTATCATTCGTATTTGTTTGTGATATTATATACGATATATCATGTTCATTAATTGAATATTCATTTGACACTTCTTCCTTAGTCGATGTTATTGCTAAAAGATAGGCTATTGTTGACTCAATATCATTATTAAACTCTATTAATGTCTGATGTATTAGATTTTTATCATTCGTATTTGTTTGTGATATTATATACGATATATCATGTTCATTAATTGAATATTCATTTGACGCTTCTTCTTTCTTATTTTTTTCTGAATTCGATGTAAAATTTGAAGTTGTCACAGATTTAGCAGTCGTCGTTGGTTCTAAACGAACATTGGCTGATGCTGACGTTACATCACCTAATCGTCTAACGCTAAATAATAAAAATAGAATTATCAAATATTAATAAATAATTAAAATAAACAACATTTACCTAGAATAATGTTCAAAGTTATGATAAGAAATGTGAAATTCATATTTAGGATTATTTGAAAAAGAGACAACCCATACTGGTTGCTGTAATTGATGTACACATATTTTAGCATTGTGTAAACGAGCAAATGCAACAATAGATTCATTTCCAGCATATGTACCATCTTTAGCGAGTGATTTTATGTATGTATCAAATGGTTGATCAACAATAAATGGTTCAAAATCTTGTCGATTTTTTAATATATAATCACATACTTGTTCTCGATACATTGCATGTCTTCCAGCATCACCATCCATTTGATCAGCAACTAAAATAAAAATTTTAATCTTAAATTTTCTAATCAAATTGATAATTTATTCAAAGATAAAAATATTAAAAAGAAAGATAATTTAAACTTACAACTTCTAAATAAACAATTTCCATCACCAACAACATCACGTAATTCTAAACCAATTGTTCGTAATTGATCACGAAATTTATCCGCATTTCCATCATCTTTTAAATATTGTTTAGTATTACGGTCTTTTTTTTCTTGTCGACGAGTATCTCTTTCATGACGTTTGTTATTATTATTAATGTCATTCTTTTGTTGACGTGACGTATGTTTTGGACACATTGTTGATTCACTAATCTAACGAAGTCGATGAGAACAAAATAACATAAGTAATAATCTAAAACTATATAATAAAGATTAGGTCAGATGATAAATAAATTTAATCATTATTTTATTATTGAACAAAACAATTTATTAAGAAAAATGATGCAATGACAAGAAATGGACTGTTCTGCTTTTCTTAATGGTACGTGTTTCAACAATAATAAAAAGAAAGTCAAAAATTGAGTTAAATACTCATAGTAAGAAAAACAGTGATCGTTTTCTATTATCATGCTTTCTTACTGAGTGAAAGAATTGATAAGGAATTTTTAATTCTAACATAAATTCATTATGTTCGTCAGTATTATCATCTAAAAATCGATTCAATTTATCAAATTAAAAGAATAAAAAAGTACTGTGTATTCTCACAGAATAATGACAACGTAGGAATTATAACAGCTAGAATAATAACAGTATATTGTTTTTCTGGGAACGAATTACGAACTATAAGAAAAATAATAAAATAACGTTCTAGTTTTTGAATTCATCAATATAAAAACTATTTCATATTTGTTTTGATTGATCATCGATCAGTACCAATTTGTTTGAATTAATTGATTGATGAATATTTTCAAACAGAAAGATTATAACAAAGAGAAAAAATAAATAATCAATCTATAAAATGTCACACCTAAAAATGAGCATAGACAACAAAGATAAGAAGGAGAATTCATGGATTAACAACATGAACTGTTACAAAAAATGATGAAAAATGAAGACAACAACACACATTAAAACTCACAATAAAAAAATTTTTTTAATTTTTACTTTTTGAGCAGACAAAAATTTGATGAGAACTAAAAGAGACGCTATACATGATGTTGTCCTAATGGCAACTATTTTAAATAGAGTAGCGGATGTATCTCCTCGTATCAGATGCTAACACTGGGTAACGTGAAAGAGTCAGTCTTCAATTGTTCATTATTTTCTAGAGATATTTTCTACAATATGATAATGATTCAAGGCCTATTCTACACCCAATTAGAATCTATCAAAGAAGAGACGTCATTGAGTATGATCTTTGAAGTGAGATGTTGTACCGAGTCATCGTGAAACATTTGCGTGCATTTTATACAATATAAATATGTGTTGTATCTGGACGGTAATAAACCTGGAAGATATGTTTATTTAAAAAAAAAAAAACTGTTTAAAAGAAAAATGTCAAAAGTGTAAAGTTTCTATGTAAGAAAAAGAAAGAGTAAGAAGTTTCAAGCCAATTTAACTAAATAACAATAAAACAATACAGTTGATTATCGAGAAAAAAAA